ACCTGGCGCTTAGGTTCGACAACAGGATGACCATCCTCTCGAGAACGGGCTGCTTGGCATGCTTCACACCAGTCTGCTCTGGGGATATGCGTAAGCTCATGAATCATCACCGTCTGGGGATCAGGCTTCACAGGAAGTGGTCCATGGTTCACATCAGGGGTGTACGCTTCCACTACCGCATCGCTAGCCTGGACAGCCACCTTCAACTGGTTCATTGCCACCTCTTTCTTGAGGCGGTCCCACAGCGTGGCTTTGGGTCCAGTGTGGGGAATTCGCAGGAACTTGCACCCCCATCTCAAATCTCTCAAACTAGACTCTTCCCTCAGCTCTTTCTCACCAAGCTTGACGACCTCACCGACGTCAGGCACCACTGTCAACTCTGGCCCCAAAACCGGAGCTCCAATGCTCTGCCGAGGCTCATCTTCAGCTCCAGCAACCTCCTGATCAGCTTGTCCAGAACCACCATCATCACCAGGCGCAGGTCGAGGAAACCTGGGAACAATGGCCACGTCTTCTGCAACTACTTTTCCTAGCGACTCGGGCTCGACAGGCTGGGTGGTGAGGATGGTGATCACTTTGGTAGGGCTGCCTCCTATCTCCATCACAGGCTTTGGCTCCCAGTACTCACCGCACTCGAAGACTGTGTAGCGTCGGCCGCTCTGTTGCACCAAAGTGGTACGATGCGCAAACACTTCAGGATCATACATCTCACTGGGGTCGGTTGTAGTAGACGAACTGTTGCTCACATGCGTGGGCTGGCCATTCTCATTCAACTGCCAACCCCTTCTCTTCAAACTGTTCACAAACGACTCACCCAACTCAACCACCATACGCACCTGGGCCTCTTCCGTTCTGAAAATTTTCATGGTAGCGGCAATGGAGTTCCTTGCCCAATGTAGAGGAAAAGCTTGAGAACCCTTGGCCATCACAAGGTTCTCTGAGTCAGGGCGAGGAAGCCACCCATCACGAATCAACTTGCCAGCACAAAGAAGTGGTTGCTTGACCCGCGCTAGCACTGCCTTGTCTTTAAAGACGATACTGCTACCATCGCAACCTTTCACAACAAACGTCACTCCTTCCCTCACGGCAGCTTGCGGAATGATCGAGCCTTGCGCATCCACCAAGGACACGCTCGCGTGGTCTTCGATGCCCACCTCGCCAAAGATGTGCATCGGAAGCACCGTGACGTCAGCACCTGAGTCGAGGATTACTTCGTGACCCTCTGCAACTGCACGCACGCAGAATTCGGCTTCTTCAGCTCGGGCTTGCTGCAACAGAACCCAATCACTTTCAGCTCCACTCTCAAGCTCACACGGGGAATCAACTTCATCTTCATCGCACAAAGAGAAGTGCAAAGTGGAAGTGGAAGGCAAAGAGCAGCTGCTACCACACTCAGACTGGACATCCTCTAGCAACTCATGCTCTGCAGGCTCCACAATCTCAGCAACCATGCGCACATAGCCACCGAACCCATCATACTCATCCCAACCTTCTTCCCAAACTTCTTCTGAATCATACCACGAAAGATCATGAACATGGCTTTCCCACAGTGGCTCGCCAACCTCACCTGCCTCGGTCTCGTCGAAGATCTCCTCCATCAGGACGTCATGTGCGAACTCCAGCCGGCGAACCTGGGATGCGGCAGAAGGTCGGGAGCTACTCGAGGGGGCCGACTGCGACGACGTAGTAGGGACTGAGGTGGCTCGGGTACTCACAGACAGACTGTCATCATCTGCAGCTACTTGTTGCACACGAGCTCGCAAATGACACTCTGCAGCACGATGCCCCATGCGCCCACAGATAAAACATGGACCTTTTCCCTTTCCACCAGGACTGCCAAAACCTTTCCCAAACGACTTCTTGCCTTTCTCCTTCCCTTTGCCACCACCAAACTTGCCCTTGACATTGCCCTTGAAATTGCCGTAGCCCTTGTAACCCTTGGCCTGGTCGTAACCCTTGCTGTTCCAGGAACCCTTATCGCCTTTGCCCTTCTTGCCTTTGTCCTTTCCAACATCACCCTTCTTGCCTTTCCAGGACCCCTTGGGCTTGCCCTGCTCGACGCGGTCCACATCCATGGGCACAGGCCCATTTCCTGGGTGCAAAGGCGAGTCTTTGTCTACCCCGATGGCCTTCAGAACGTGTTCTGTAGACCATGTAGCTGCTGTTCGTTCAAATTGAAGAAGAGTGCTACGAAGACCATTGTACGTAGTGGAATCGTCGATTTGTAGTTGCAAATATCGCTTGATATCTTGTGGCAAGCCAGACATCAGCGTGGAGATCTTTAGATCCTCCGGGTACCGCGCGGACGATAGCTTCTCATACTCAGTGATAAGGCGTTCGTACCCTAAAGTGTACTCCAGTACTGAGGCACCCTCTTTCAAGGGTGGAAAGCGCGTGAGCGCCTGCGCAAGCGCAAGCACGCGCGGGCGCGAAGTTGGTTGTAGCTCTTCCTTCAATTGGCGCCATACGCTAAATCCGTCTCCTTTTGGTTCTGCACGAAGAATTTTTAGTGCTCGGCCTTTCAAATAAGATGCAAGGATGGAGTACAGCCGCAGCGATCTCGCTCTGATAGCCGGGCCATAATCCTCAAAAGCCAAAAACTCTGTTGACGTCTCTGCCTTGGCAAAGTCACCCCTGTATTCATCATCTTGTATGGCCATAAAGTTCTTGAAGCTGAAGGCCCATTCGGGCCACATACTGATTTCTTCTTCGATACTCTTGGGGTTGAATATCTCGGGGGCCTTTACATACTTGGTCTCTCGCCACTCCTGTGTGCTGGGTGCAGAAGCGGCGGCCTGGGCACTACTAGCAGCAGCTAGCTGAGACAAGGCTTCAGAGAGCCTAGCCAACACAACCGTCTGGTCCAAAGGTCCTTGCGGGGCTACTCCATGAGGAGAAGCTCCGCCTGGGCTCTGTCCTCCTACATCTCCAGGATGCGGAGGCGCCGGGGTGGCATCTTGCTGTGTGCTCATCTCGCTGGGCTCAAGGCTCAACAAAACTCACAAGCACGTTGTCAAAGTCCGCAGCACAGCCGCGGTTGTAAAAGAACTCAAAGGTCTGGCCGCCAGCAGCGGTTGTAGTACAAAACGCGGGGCAGCCACGGTCGAGGACTATGTGTTCACAGTACTCACACACTTCTACGCTTGCTCGCAAGGGCACGCAGGCACAGGCGAGACTTTGGGCTCTACTCTACTTTCTACACACACACACACACACACCGACAGGTCTGGGTCCTGCCTGTCACACTCTTGGAGCTGGGTACCCAAAGGTGGACCCGAAGCTCCGCTACCACAACAAAACGCACGGACTTTTGTGCACACACTTTGAGCCTTGGTTACGACACACTTCGCTGTAAGCTTTGCACAAGCAAAACGCTACGTGGAAAACGGGTTTCCGGTTTCGCCAAAAGCTTGAAACTTTGCCACCTTTGCCAGGAGTAGGG